TAACAATTTGTGCAGCGTTAGGGGACTGACCTAACTAAAACAATTTACTGGCAATTTTAAAATTTCATTGGACATGTTAAGTAATGTAATTCTCAACAAATACTGTATCTTAAAATGCAAAGCACTTGACAACTGACGTTCGTATCTATGAAAGTGGTATTATGAGCATGTTTTACAGTTGCTAACAACGAAGGAGAAAAATCCATTCTGGTTTTCAGTGGTAAAACTTAAATTACTGGCCAAGTTGCCCACAAAAACTGAAACAGGTTCATTTACCAGGTTCTTTATCTTTCAGAATCTGATACCGAACAGATTTTAAGAGGTTCTGAATCTGTTCCGGTATAGAAATAAGGCCAAACAGCTTCTGTGAAACAATCATTAAAAGTATAGAGAACAGACCTGTCATTCATATTATAAAAGGAGACCTCACCCAACTCACAGTCCAGAAAAATGCCAATCTTACTGGGTCTTACTGCTGGCAGCAGGTGGGCTCTCCGAGGGCCCGATGCCACATAGCCACCACACATGTATCGCCCCACTGCCCAGAACCCACCCAGAACCGACGGCTGATCCTGCCAGCTCCTGGCAACTCCGTCTCGACACACGCCCAGTATCCACTTAGGCTTCTTGCCCACTTCCACCTCCCAGTAGTGTCTGCCAGAACTAAACCTCTGAGAACCCAGGACAGCAGGGCAAAGGTGGAATCTCCTCGCGTTACAGGCACCTTTTTGTTTTGTTCTTCCGTATCGCACGGCTTTTCTATCCTCAGAGACAGCAAGTTGAGGATGTGCTGTGTCAACATCTAGAATCACATCTACTTGAAATGGCTTGATAATTCTGTCCAAGCCAGAATACTGGGGAGGAAGTCTGAATCCATATTTTGATAGCTTGAATGAAAAGGTTTCAGGGTATTTTAGGTTTTGGTACCTGTGGTAGATACTCTTAACGCATGCCAGTAACTCCATGTCTGACTGCACACAGGTGCCCTCTATCTCCCTCAGAAGATGTCTTAATGTGGAAACATCATCTGAAAATGTTACAAGGTTTTTATTTAGTTTTGTTAAAATGTCCATCTCTTCATCTCGTATCTGCCTAAGAATAGCCTCTTGCTCATTCTGTAAAAACAGTCTAATGTCCTCAAACTCAGAATTGATTTCTTCTCTCCTATATTCTACCTGCTTTTTAAGCTCCACTGACTTGCTGCCTTGCAGAGCTATCACTTTTCCAACTCGTTCTATATTATTCTTCAAGGGCTCAGTGCTACACCGCAGAGTTTCTCGGTGGTAAGAGGCAGCTTTGTCAATGGTGCTAATGTAGTGCTTCCGGTGTTCAGTGGAGAAACTGCACTGTGTACATAAGATCTCTAGGTCCTTCAGACAGAAAAGGGTCAGAAACTGATTGTGCTTTTCACACACAGCATTCTCTTTCTGCCTCTTCCTCTTGCTCCTTCTGACCTGAAGCAGCTTAGCAATGTCAGTCAAATTACGGAGCTGAGGGTTCCTCCTGAAGTTCCCGTATGGAAAGCAAAAACGGCAGACAGGACAGGGAAAGGCATCATCTAGATCCTTCCAGGATGCACTGAGGCAGGAGAAACAGAAGTTGTGCCCACAGCTGATGGTCACTGGGTCTTTCAAGTACTCCAGGCAGATGGGACATCTGGACTCCTCTTGGAGGTCCTCCAGGGCTCTCACATACTCCATCGAGCTGTGAACAAAAGCGGCAGGTGAGGTAAGCTTCCTTTGGCAAGGCCTACCTCCCCAGAGCTCAGACCCAGTGGGACGTGGACATCCATCCCGGACCTCGCAGATCGGCCAGGTTTGGGTGGCACTGTCCTGGCACCTTCTTTAGTCCCCTGCCCCTTAGCTTGGAGGACAATAATGATTCAAAGCCTGTAGCTCTATCAGATTAGCCCATCTGAATCTAGATTTAATGACTTTCTTCAAGAAACTAGCCACAGGCCAGGTGCAGTGGCTCACGCCTATAATCCTAGCACTCTGGGAGGCCGAGGTGGGAAGATCACTTGAGGTCAGTTTGAGACCAGCCTGAACAAGAGTGAGACGCGTCTCTACGAAAAGTAGAAAATATTAGCCAGGCGTGGTGGCGTGCACTTACAGTCCCAGGTACTCGCAAGCTGAGGCAGGAGGATCACTTGAGCCCAGGAGTTTGAGATTGCTGTGAGCTAGGCTGACGCCACAACACTCTACTCAGGGCAATGGAGTGAGATTCTGTCCCAGAAAAAAAGAGAAACCAGTCACAGGTCTAATGGAACAATCATTCCTGTGGGTGAGAAACGATTTTTAATTTCAAAATCTATTGGATTTCGGCCAGGCATGGTGGCTCACACCTGTAATCCTAGCACTCTGGGAGGCCGAGGCAGGAGGATCGCTCAAAGTCAGGAGTTCAAGACCAGCCTGAGCAAAAGTGAGACCCTATCTCTACTAAAAATAGAAAGTAATTAGCTGGACAACTAGAAATATACAGAAAAAATTAGCCGGGCACGGTGGTGCATGCCTGTAGTCCCAGCTACTTGGGAGGCTGACGCAGAAGGATTGCTGGAGCCCAGAAGTTTGTGGTTGCTGTGAGCTAGGCTGACGCCACGGCACTCTAGCCCAGGCAACAGAGTGAGACTCTGTCTCAAAAAAAAAAAAAAAAAAAATCTGTTGGATTTGAAATCATACTATAATAATTGGTTTGGGCAAGATCGTCCATAACTATAAAAACTATTGCATAAAATTTTATGGGGCAATGATAAGCTATTCACATAGTCTCAAAACATCACCCTGGGATGATATTTTAATCATAAAGAGAAAAAAAACAAGTACCTTTACAATGTAGAGATCCAGAGAACACCACCTTCACCGATGATGAGACAAAGCCATGACCTGCAATGGAAGAAATTCATTACCATCTGTGGAAAACATTCGTAGAAAATATACATATTTTACCTCATTCTAATAATGGGCAACAATCGTGAACACCCAAATCATACCAGAACTAACATAATAATGGTGTCAGACTGCACCAATAAAAACAGAACTGAAAAGCAGCCAATTCGTCCTAAATTAAAGTAACAAGAATAATACATAATCTTAGCTTGGATTCTAGACTGGGGAGAAAAGTTGCAATAAAGTGGATAGTATAGGATAGTGGGGAAAATGGGAATATGTACTATTCATTAGATAACAGTAATACATCAAATTTAAGCTTCTTAAATTTCATAATTATGCCATAGCTACATAAGCAAATGTCCTTCTTCTTAGGAAATACATGTTGAAGTATTTACTGGTGAAGGGGTCACGACCTTTGCAGTACCTCTTTTCCTTCACGTCACATCACAAATCCCATCTTCTGCTCACCTACCTGACGGCCTCCCACTCACCCCCGTCCCTCACATCCCATCTCTCTGCTTACACTCACAGAAACCAGTCATAATCTGAAATGGTTTCTTCACGTGTTTCTTTTGTTTTTTGGGTTCTCTTTCGGCTTTAACCAGTGAATGAAGTAGAACAGAAGTAGACACTTAGTCTACCCTATTCATTGAAAAGTAGCAGAAAATCAATGAAGACTTTAAAATAAGTGAATAATGAATGAATGGATAAATGAATGAATAAAACCTTAGAAGAATACAAACAGAATAAATGTCAGTTATAAAAGATAAAATTTAGGTGGGAGACTATTCAAAATTAAGAGATTAAAGAGAAAGGAAAGCCAAAGGCAATGTGTGGTATTTGAAATTCTCTGGCCTAGAAAAACAAAGTTATTAAGGACACTGTGGATATCACTGGAAATGTTTAAACATGGACTTATACTAGATAATTATAGTGTATTAGTGCAAACTGCATATAATAAAGATTTATAATGGAAAAGTATAATGTCCATGTTCCAAAGAGATACAAGCTTTTTAATAGAGAAATGACAGGATGTGTTTGTAACTTATTTTTAAACTGTTCAAAATAAAAAATATGTAATTTCACACATGTATACATCCACAGAAAGAAATGCACACACACAGTGAGAAAACAGACAGTGGGTCAGCCCAAATGTTAACAATTGGGGATTCTAGCCAAGAGTAAAGGGGTATATACGCTATTCTTTCAGTATCATTGTAGGCTTGGAAAATTTCAAAATAAAAAGCTGTAAAACTACTGGCATCTTTTCCATATCCCCTTTCGCGGCTACTTTCCAGCCAGCTGGAGTGAGTTCCTCATACATGTGACCACTCAACCGTCAGTCCCCAACTCTTTAACAGGCACCGTTCTTTCACCTGTTTCCGCAGGTGACCTTCCACAGAACACAATACTTAAAGGTAACAGAATTGGTGTCGTTTTGACATGTGAAGATGACTTTGTCTTTGACCCAGAGGAGGTTACCTCTTTATTTCAGAATTATTCAAACGTGAGTAAAACCATTCACTTTTGAATTGGTGAAATAGGTTATGTGTAGTTGTCACACTTCTTAACATCACTCCTCACCCATTTCAATCCTACTCTTTAGCAGAACACAGAATATCAGGCTTAGGGTCCCGACAAAACTTTGCACAGTGCTAAATGTCTTCCATACAGTCAGTGACCTCCATTTTTTTTTCTGAGACAGAGTCTCCCTCTGTCGCCGAGGCTACAGTGACGTGGCGTGACCGTACGTCACCGCAACCTCAAAATCCTGGGCTCAAGTCTTCAGAGTAGCTGAGACTATAGGTACATACCACCACACCCCGCTAATTTTCTCTATTTTTAGTAGAGATGAGGTCTTGCTCAGGCTGGTCTCAAAACTCCTGAGCTCAAGCGATCCTCCTGCCTCGGCCTCCCAGAGTGCTGGGATCACAGGTGTGAGCCACCTCACCCAGCATTGATCTCCTTAATTAAATCCTTACAACTTTGTCAAGCAATCTGCCACATGCCCTGAGTGTTCCTGTTTGGTGTCCCAGATATGCCGAAAATTCAAGGCCCTGTGACCACTCTTTACCCAGGATATTTCTCACAGTTGTGTTTGCATCAGGTGTCACCGTGGACACAGAAAAGGCTTGCTGTGAAACGGACTCCCAAGCTCAGGGTTCACCGGCCGTGACGCTAACCCTCACTGTGCACAGGACCTGATATGGTCTGGTCTGTGCACATCACCTGTGGGGCTTGGAACGTATGGGGAAGTAACACTAATACGATGCTCACGCTGCTGGCTGTGACGGGAGTAACAAAGTTCTTTGTCTGTGACCCAAGAGTGTTGTGTCTCCTGGTAACATCCATGAAATATTGACAGGCAAATTTATTAGCTTGCAAATAGAGCAAAATCCCAAGCCCTCATAATTTGAAGCTATTATCTTCAATTATAAGGTGGAATTTCAATTTACAAAAGTTTGATAGGCTTATCCAAAGTCCTGGTACTAACTGGTGTAACTACTAGTATGATACTACGTTATTAAGCACACTGTCCTTTCTTGGTATTTAGAAACATAGTTTACAGGCTCCAAAATCTAAAGTGCTTCATATAGTGCTCTGTTCAACTCATACTAATGGATATCCCACATTTGTTAAGATGTCCAAATAATCTAACAAGGGGAAAATTAAGATTTTTGTACATGTTTTCCACCATACATGATGATGTGAACAGACAGCACCCAAATTACTAGGTGGCAGTCTCTAATAAAATGTGTTTCACTGCAATGCCGTCGCTTCACTAGCTGCATGTCATCACCCGACTAGCTTAAATCCTCCATGCTTTAGTTTCTGCTTCAGAACGTTAACAGCACTCAACAAGAAAATGCATGTGAGGCTGCTACAGTGCCTGACCTAGAACAGGGGCTCGGCAGGGCGTCGTGCAGAAGAGCTCGCTCGTGGGCCTGAGACTGCTCCCTCACAGGCTGCTTCTGAGGCGAGTATTTGACTGGCATCTGGCAACTTCCATTCCTGGAGCTTATCAGGAACTTACGAGGAAACGGGTCCCACCGCTCTCCCCTAAGAATGGTTCACTGTACCTAAAGCATTTGTACAATGAGGTTTCCTTATGGTGAGCCGCTGCTTTCCTTCTGAGAATCTGGCATTTTGATATAAATTAGGTAGCGAAGCCGGCATGACCTGTTCCCAGGAAAAAACTTGGGCAGCAAGTCTCTAATGAGCTTCACAGTCAGGCAACATTTCGCTCCTTTATCACAACTTGTCACTGGAGAAATTAAGCAAGTCCTGAGTGACTTCACTGAGAGAGGACTTCTGGGAGCCCAGCTTGGTTTCCTCCAGACTTCACCTCTTTGCTGATTTTGCTTTATATCCTTTCACTATAATAAATCGTAACCATGGCCGGACACGGTGGCTCACGCCTGTAATCCTAGCACTCTGGGAGGCCGAGGCAGGTGGATCGCTCAAGGTCAGGAATTCGAGACCAGCCTAAGCAAGAGTGAGACCCCGTCTCTACTAAAAA